GCTTGCAGCAGCAAGTCCAGAAAGTGCACCAGAAGGTGCAGGGCGAGCTGTGGCTCCATGTTGCCACCTGCGGCGGTCCCCCCCGAAGGGAAGCACCGACACAGACGGGCACAGAGACCGACGCTTTGCTGTCCCTCGGCGAGGTTGGCAAGCAAGCAGGAAAAGCTGAGAACCGGCTGTCCGGGGGGGGTCCCTTTAAGCACGAGCCTCAGATAGCCTCAGACAGCAGGGGAAGCACCGACACAGACGGGCACAGAGACCGACGCTTTGCTGTCCCTCGGCGAGGTTGGCAAGCAAGCAGGAAAAGCTGAGAACCGGCTGTCCGGGGGGGGTCCCTTTAAGCACGAGCCTCAGATAGCCTCAGACAGCAGCCACACAAAGCAACTGCTGACCTGATGCCCTGCCAGAACCGGTTTCAGCTGCCCTTAAATGCCCCCCTGCGTCCAATCAGTGTGGACGCGCTAGTTCGAACAAGCAAAACGCTAGTTCGAACTAGTTTTTAGTTCTAGATGCGCTAGTTCGAACTAGCTTAGTTCGAATTAACTAATTCGAACTAAGTTAGTTCGAATTAGCGCTGTAGTGTAGACATACCCTAAGAGTAGAATGAGTTACTTTGCACCTCTTACTGAATTCAGCGTAAATCTCCCAATAGAGGTGTGCTAGTAATACTTAAATTAAAAAGACACACTTTAAAAATAACCATGCTAAATCTGAAAACTGGTAGCACCCCCTCATTTGGATCGGTTGAAGAAGAGACTGTATTGATGTAGTTTATTTATAACCTGCTCCACAATTTTCTCACAAGGCACTTCCATGTAAAATTGCAATGATCAAAGAAATAGCCCAAGGGACTTAATTGGAAACACACATACAACTCAGAAAGGGCTTGACTGATGCTCGTGTGGGCTCCCAGCATGGAAGAAGCTGAAATAACCATAATGTTGAAAAGCAGTAGAAACATTGGATGCCAAACCACACTTTTAACCTCCAGGGCAAGCTATTCCACTGTGTCTATGCTCCTGAGAATTTCAAGAGTGCACAAACACAAACTAGTCTGGAGAGACTTGGGAGAAAAAAAAATTACTACTGATAATCAATTAGCATTTAATAAAATGCAGATTAGCATACTGAATTAATTTTACTTATAAACTTGGAAACATTTAGCTCAGTCTTAACAATCCAGTCCAAACTTAATTCTAAATTGCACCATTTATATTAATTAAATCCTTGTTTAAATTAATTTCAAAAGTAAAAATCTCAGTGTTCCATTGTAGAGCATGAGGAAAAAAAGTAAGACACTGAAGGAAAAACATTCAACTGTGAATAACAGATAAGACTTTCATATCTCTATGGGGTGAGGTTACCATATATGAGAGAGAGAGACAGAGAGAGTGAGTTTATGTTTATAGAGTGAAGTTTTAGCCTGAAAGGGTAACAGTGGAATATCTATTCCAGATTAAGGGCTTCAAATTAAAATCTGCCCACCTCACAAATTTGACTTTGCACTTAGCTGAGAACGTTAATAGCACACAATGTTCTTTCTCCCTCTTGCAGTGTCACATGTAACTATCAGCTGTTTAGGGACTGAGTGATAGTTAAAAAAATCCATATGTCAAGATTCAGCATGGCATCATCACCCATGAAATGCAATAAAGGCCAGCTTGGCTCTGCACATGACAAGGGTATATCACAGATCAGAACCTGTGCAGCAGGGCTGAACGGTGAGTCTCATATGCACCGACCATGCCTTGTAGCCAATGGTGACATTATTTAGTATATTAGACCACATGGATGACCAGGACTTTGACCAGAATGGATCAGCTATCGAGGGTCTGATTTAGAGATGCTAAGGACTAGTCGACTAGTCACTTCCCCCACCTTGCTGCCTCTGTAAGACAGAAGGGAGGAGAGTAAGGGAGAAGAGTGGGGTAGTTCAAAGCGGCAATGCTGCACAGAGTCCCAGGTTCTGTGTGGCACTGCTGCTTTGAAATCGCCACCGTGGCATTTCAAAGCGGCAGCACCCTGTGGAGCCCAGGGTCAGCTGCGGAGTCCCCAGCTGATCTGGGCTCTGTGAGGCGCTGCCCCTTTGAAATGCTGTGTGGCGTTTCAAAGGGGCAGTGACA